CCCCCTCTTCACGATCTGTGAATCGGCGGTCCACGAACCAAAGCGTTCCCGGCACAGGCAAAGTCCCACGAAAACGAAAATTGATAGACGATTTTCGTGTTTGTTTCTCAAGAGTTGTAATTTTTTGCTTTGTTGTGTAGAAAAAGTCTTATAAAAAGATTATTCTTTCGAATTTGTTGTAATCGAACAAAATTATAATGAATTCCACAGCAGCGACTTTTGAACCAAACACCTAGGACCTTCAAGATTCCACCAGATGAACACTCCTTTAATCCCAATGGGTCTTGAACTACACCTAACTTTTACAAGTCACTTCCTTTCAAATTCTAGTCCACATAAATATTTCAGCGGCAATTGCACGAAAATCAGAAGCAAAAGCATCGATGTTGCCTATCGAACTCTAATCCAAAATTTTAAACAAATTATCCAAGTGGGCAAGTTTAGATTTGAACAAAAAAGTTCATAAGCGATAGAATTACTTGTGGTTAAGTGCCAAGCGGAGCACCTTGGTCATGTGCCAAAACTCATCTCCCTGAACTCGAACAACCTCGCCCTATAAGCCCAAAACAGAAAGCAAAGAACGCGCACAACCCGTTTGTTAAAATTCCCAACTGAACAAATAACCCTTTTGAGAAAGTAATTGAACAGCTACTAACCTTTGAAGGAGGAAGGGTTTGAGAGTGGAAGCGGGGGAGTCCTCCACGTGAACGATTCTGAGAGTTCTTGTTGTTTCTGTTGTTGCTGCTGCTGCTGCTGCAGAGGGTGAGAAGGATTCGGATGGCGAGGCGCAGGCGAAGCCCGCCGCTGAGAGGAGGCTGGGTTCCGCTAGCCGGAGATCGAGCGGCCAACATTACGTTGTTGGTGTTGCGAAGAAGAGGGACAGTGTGGGTAGATAGCGGCAGATAGAAATTTATGGATTTCATTTTACCCCTTTCTCCGAATGTTTGTTTTTTGGGGGGTTTTCTTTTCCCCGAAAATTAGACTTTAACCTCCTGAAAATTTTGTGTCCAGGCCCAAATATTTGGAAACATATGTACCCGAGCCCCTTGTATTTTTTTCCTACGTCAAAAAAACCCAAAATACATTGAAATAATGTGTTTTAGCCCCCTCTTACTTTGCCAAAGTGCCAATTAAGCACAAAGAGAGAGAGAGAAACACTCATAAAATTCTAAATTTGCAATGTACTTGTTGTCAGTTCCTCCACTCAAACAGGTAACCGTAGGGCTGAGCATGGTTCGGTCCAAACCGAAAAAACCGACCGAACCGACCCGAACCGACCCGAAAAAATCGGTTTTATGAGTAGGGCGGTTCGGGTCGGTTTGAAAACTTTTTAACCCGAACCGACCGAATATAGGGCAATACTACTCATTCTAATCTCAAACCCTACCCGACCCATCTCCAAAGAGTCAAAGACTCAAACCCTAAACTCATTTTGTAAATGGGCTGAAAACAATATCGTTATATCAGTGTTTAATGCTTTATAATCTCCTACTTTGTTGATATCTTTTTTTCCTTTAACATAGTTTGTTGTTTGATAAGAAGTTTGATGAAGTTAGAACCGAACAAACCGAACCGAACCGCACCGAATCGACTTGCAACAGTTCGGTTCGGTTTTGAATTATAGGCGGTTCGGTTCGGTTGTTCAAATTTTGATAAAAACCGAACCGAACCGACCGTTGCACACCCCTAGGTAACCGTGCCCACTCCCAAATCAAATCAAATTTCTCTCTCTCTCTAACCTTCACAGAAAAATAAAAAAACTATAGTCCCTCCTAAATTTGATCTAGATTTAGGGTTTTATTATTGAAAAATGGCCAAAACCCAAATTAAAGCCGCAATTCCTCTAATTCAGCCACAAAGGATGTCAATGCTGATAAATTTAAAGTTGTTCATCACTCACGGCGTCCGGAGCATGAATAGAAACCCTCGGCATTGAACGATGACCGTCAACCTTGGTGTCGAAGAATGATGAAGATCCCCCTTGGTGTCGAAGAATGATGAAGATCACCCTTTGTCGAAGAGTAATGAAGATCCCTCTTCGTTGAAGAATGTCCATGAATCATCTGCTTCCTTATCTCCATCTTGTTCCACGCCCCCCTCTACTTCATCATTTGGAAAAGGCAACATGGGTGACGCGACGAAGATCCTTTTGGATTGTATTATATTGCTTTGTCAAAGGGTGAACCATGTAGAAAAGGAAGAAACCAAGTTCAAAAGAGGATATCTCCCATTATAGAAAGAAGTAAATTTATGTTGGATTGTATTATATTGCTTTGTCAAAATTGCGAGAATTGGGTGGAAATTTTGTGGAATTATGTTAAAAAAATTGTGTGATGTTTACTTAGAATAACTGTGGAAATTATTTGTATCGCAATTGCATAAATTATTGTATGAAAAGATAAAGAGGGAGTTGTATTGGTGTGTTGTGAACAATGTACAATTATTTATGAATTTTAGCATATGGATGTTAAATGTAATTCTCTTCTGTTAATTTTGTGGACTGTAATGTTACACAGTACATGTTAGTTGTACTAAATTGGTTGTTGGGGAGCGTTTGGCAACCGTGACGTTTTTATCGTTTCTATTTTTGTTTTCAACAAAAACAATAAAACACGTTTGGCAACCAGGATGTTTTTTTGACTTGACCATTTATAAAATCCAAAAAATAAACACTTTTCTTAAAACACCAAAAATGTGTTTTAAGATTCCGTTTTTTCATCTAAGCCGCCGCCGCCCGCTCACCGCCGCTCCACTGCCTGTCGTTAGTTGCGCTACGCCGCCTACTATCGCCCTGCCGCGCCACTCGCTCGTCTGCGGCCGCCGGCCACCGCAGCCTGCCGCCTGCGGCCGCCGCCCGCCCGTCATCCGGCCGCGCGCCGCCAGCCGCGCTGGCCGCCGCGCCAGCCGCGCCGCTGCCGTCGCCTGCCTGGCCGACTGCCCAAGCCGCGCTGCCACTGCGCCTGCCCGCCGCCGCCCACACGTCGCTGTCGGCCACCCGTACCGCCGCCCGCACGCCGCGACCGGCCCAATCGTCTGGGCCGCCGCCGACGCAGCTCTGCCCGCGCCTTGTTGCCGCCGTCCCGCCTGCAGCCCGACCACTCGCTTCGCCCTGCAGCCCCACACCCGCCACGCCCGCGCCCGGCCGTGAGCCCACCACCGATCTGCGGACGGTCCGAGAGATCGCTTCCGCCCCACCGCTGCCGCCCTGCCAGCACGCCGGTCCCGCGCCGCCGCCGTCGCTTTTTAAATAATAACTAAAAATGGTGTTTTCAAAACATGTTTGAAAAAACACCATGGCATGGTGTTTTTTTAAAAAACACAACAAAAACAAACACCTCGATTACCAAATTAGATATGAATCTTTTGTTGATAAATGTAGACAGTCCACGTTAAAATTTATAATTTAACTGTTAAGCTTAATCATTAGTTGTTAACACTGGTCTTTGGTTATTGAGTTTACATTGTACTAAATTATTGTATGCAAAGATAAAGAGGGAGTTGTATTGGTGCATTGTGAATAATGTACAATTATTTATGAATTTTAGCATATGGATGTTAAATGTAATAGTTTTCTGTTAATCTTGTGAACTGTAATGTTATACAATGCATGTCAGTTGTACTAATTGGTTGCTAACTAAATAGAGATGAATCTTTTGTTAATAAATTGAGATAGTTCATGTTATAGTTTATAATTTAACTGTTAAGTTTAATCATTGGTTGTTAATACTGGTCTTTAATTATTGAGTTTACATTGAACCTGTTGGAAGCTTTGTTCATGAAAAGGTAATTTTGCCTTTGTGAATAGTCCCACATTGGAAAATGAGATGAATAGTAAAGGGTATATAATGGTTCTCTCCTTATTGGGCTTTGAATAGTATTTTGGGTTTTGTGGGCTTTGCATATCTACCACACACGCACGCACGCCACGCGCGCCTCGCCGCGCCGCACCGCACACGCACACCTTTTTGCTTCTCAAGCTTTTATTTTTGCACGTTTTACACGTTCTGTAGCACCGCACACGCACACCTTTTTGCTTCTCAAGCTTTTATTTTTGCACGTTTTACACGTTCTGTAACGGTTGCATGAGGGTAACGAAAGCAAGATTTGTGCGTAACGGTCCCTTGGATTCAGCGGGGGTTACACTTCTCCTCACCTATATAAGCAGGCTTAGAGCTCATTCAGAAACACACCAACGAAGAGGAAAACTTCTAAACTCTCTTCTCTTCTCTACTCTCATACCTCCAAGAAATTTCGGCTACATATTTATATGTTCTATTTGCTGGGCAACCGTTTTCGTCTGAGCATAAGCTCTGTGACTCACGCCCGAGTGCAGAGGCCGGCCAATTCCGGTGGTTTTTACCGCTAGGGGAGAGAGAAAAAATTACGCCAGGGCGATAGGCGGGTCCTTAATCTTCTAGGGCAGTGATATCACGACTGCTCCCAATCAGGCCTGAATTTTCTAATAATCTTCTAGGGCAGTGATATCACGACTGCTTCCAATCAGGCCTGAATTTTCTAACTCTTTAATTTGTTTTATATTTTTATATCCCTGTTTTGACAACAATCTAGAAGATTAATAAATATTCTTGATGTTAAGTTAATTAGTTAAAAAAAAATTTACAGTTCATCGGGGTTACTATTCACCCGAATATTCATATATTTTAATTACTTGTTGTATTAGTTAATTGTTTTAATTTATGGCATCTAAATTAGTTTTAAAAAAAAATTATATATATAATTTCTTTGCTGCTTCTGTGCACAATTTCAGTATCTGTCATAAATAAAAAATCTTTAAGTGAACCGGTTCAAGTTTTCTTGGATTAGTTGGTGTCTAAGGCAAGGTTTAAGAGTTGCGTAAAGCGCTCTGCAAGAAACGAGGTACTTAATAGATCTTTGATCAACCTCTAGTACTATCCTTACCTGGCCAAACTACCCGAGTAAAACTTTTATCTTTTCACTTTCAGAGTTTTTGATTTAAAGCAGGTTTAATTAAGTTTCTGGTCTAGTAATATTGACAAAATCCTTTTTTATATCAGATTACATCTACCTAGACTAGTAAACTTGAATTGGACTTATGGCAATTCCTGATCATTCAAAAAGTGTCAAACCTGAGAAGTTCACCGGTGTTAACTATAAACGGTGGGCTAATCAGATGAAATACTGGCTCACTACCTTAGGTCTTTTATCTGCTATTGACACTTCTGAGTCATCTACTAGTGGTTCTCAACCTTTGACTCCTGATCCTGCTCAACCTGCTCCTTCCACTTCTGGTTCTGGTGCTAGCTCCTTTTCTAGCTCTATGAAACCAGAAGAAATCAACTATCATTGTTGTCATAGGATCCTTAGTGCACTTGCGGACAACCTTTATGACATATATTATGAGTTCAAAAGTGCAAAAGACCTATGGAATGCTCTTGAAGCAGAATATGGCTATGATGATGCCGGAATTCTGCGTTTCACCTCCTCCTCCTTCAATAAGTTCATGATGGTTGATGACAAGCCCATTAATGAACAAATTCATGAATTCCTAGATTTCCTCCGTCATCTCCAATCAAAAGGAAACACTTTTACTGACGATTATAAAGTTTCCTGTTTGATTGATAAACTTCCTCCCTCCTGGTCTAGATTTGCTGGAGATCTCCGACACAAGCAAGGAGATCTAACCTTAACTGAAGCCCTCAAGGCTATTCGTATTGAAGACCAGCATAGGCAAAATTCCAATACCAAGAATGAAACAAAAGCTAAAGTAAACTTGGTAGAGGATAAGCCTAAATCTAAGAATTTCAAACCCAAAGGGAAGAAATTCAAGAAAAATCAACAATCTTTCAACAAATCTTTAACAAATCCTCCTTCAAATCAAATCCCAATTCTTCCAGCCATAAGTCTGATGAGAAGTTCTGCTTTGTCTGTGGTAGAACCAACCACATGGCTCACAACTGTTTCTTTCGGAAGAAGGAACCGGCCAAACCTGCCCCTAAAGGAAATGTATCCAACAAAGTTAATATGATTGAAATGAATCCAACCTCCTTCAGGTTAGCCTCTTCATCTCATCTTGTAAATTCTCTAACTTCTTCCACTGATTGGTATTTGGATTCCGGAGCAAATATCCACGTCTGTAATGACCGCTCTTGGTTTTCAAATTATCAGGAATCACGTGGAGGAAGCATAAGCTTAGCAGATGACTCCACTAAACCAATAATAGGAAGTGGACGTATAGAGCTCACCATGACTTCTGGGAAAGTTCTTCATCTGCAAGGCGTTTATCATGTTCCTTCTCTCCGTCGCAATCTGATTAGTGAATCTCTTCTTCTTAGAGCTGGTTATAGGATTGTAAAAGAATCCAATAAATTTGTGATTACAAAGAGTAATGTTTTCATAGGAAAAGGTTTTATCTGTAATGGCCTTTTCAAACTCAATGTAATCAATTCCAGTTCTAATGAAATTTCTGAGTCTTCTATTATTCAAATTGTTGAGTCTTGTGATGTTTGGCATGGACGACTTGGACATGTCAATTTCCAAACCTTGCAGAGAATGAGTAAATTAAACCTCATTCCTAAATCTTCTCATGATTCCTCATCTAAGTGTGAAATCTGTGTTCAAGGGAAACACATTAAAAAACCCTTCAAGTCTATAACTAGAAACTCCGAACCCCTCGAATTAATTCATAGTGATGTGTGTGACTCTAACCGAGTTCTCACCCGAGGGGGTAGGAGGTATTTTGTAACTTTTATAGACGATCACTCCAGATATTGTTACACATATCTTCTCAAAACTAAAGATGAAGTCTTAGATAGGTTTAATGTGTTCAAAGCTGAATCTGAGAACCAACTTGACAGGAAGATCAAGATTCTAAGATCTGATCGTGGGGGGGAGTATACCTCAAATCATATGACTGAATATTACCAAGAACACGGTATTATTCATGAGGTTACTGCTCCCTATACACCACAGTCTAACGGGGTAGCTAAACGAAAGAATAGAACCCTAATGTGTTGTTCTTTTATTTGTTGTTTTATTCATAGGATTTAGAGTTAGGATTTAGCGATTCACAATTTGAGATATAGTATATACATGAGGGTTTCCTTGTTTGGATTATTTTGCTCGATGTACTAATTCTCGTGTTGTGAATTTCTAAATCTCAATTTCCTATATATCTATATGTACTAACTTGTATTTTCCTATACCTACCCCCTCCCCGTAGGGGCGGTGGAGATGTTCTCGCTAGCGCTTTACGCTCCTTGTTCCCCCCCCCCCTTTTCAGGCACTGAGTCAGGCATCCGAAGAGTCACAGGTTGATGGAGTTTCGGTTTAACTTCCATAGTAGTTATGGCTTATTTTTAGACATTAGAGTTGTATTTCATTTTGGAAGGTTGTGTGCCTTAGTACTATGTCAGTTAACTATTATGTATTGAGATATTTTATCTATGTTTCGGACATTAGTTGTGCTTCATTTATTTCAGTTGGAACATGATTATTATTATATTGATACCTCTTTCCTTTATCACGTTCATTGCATTCTTATCTTTATTTTATCTGCTTTGTACCTACACTTGGTTATTGTTGATTTCACTAGAGAGATATTACTATGATGGTGAAACGTGTCTTTGCACAGTGTGGGTGCCTGGATGGTTTGACATTTTTGGGTTCAACTTGGACTGCAGCCTTGTGTGAAACTAGGGGCATCACATTTTTAGAGTTAGTATTAAAGTTATTAAAGTTAAATTAGTTAATTAGTGATAGGAAAATACTAAAATTTGGGTTAAGTTAGTTGATTAGGTTTATACACTTGGGTAGATAAGTTTAATTAGTTAGATTTGGTGAGAACTAAAGTTAGGGTTAGCGTTACCAGACTTATATTAGTATTTTATATGGGATTTGGGTAAAATAAAAATTAAAGTTAGCTTAATTAGGGTTCTATGCTTAGGATAATGCTATTGGGTCATGGTGAGGATCATTTTGGGTAGATCATTTTAATTAGGATTGGATTAGGTTTTTTTTATTTGAAAAATTCAAATAGAAGCAAACCATAACCTATAAAATTATAATAAAAATGAGAAATTAGTTAAAAAAATTATACCTTGAGAAGATCGGGGATGATGGTGGCATCCGCTGGTGCGTGGGGGATCGGGTGTCGTGAAAAAATGAGGTAAGAAGTAAAAAAGATAAGATAAGATAAGATAAGGGGAATTTTTGGGAGGGGTAATTCCCCCCAAAATATTTTTGTCATCCCTGACATCAACCCCATTTGGGATACGCATCGCCGACAGTTAGGGCTTTCTCTCGATATTGAGCGGGCCTTACTACATTCCTAATAAGTGCTGCCATTAGGGATGTTCGACATCCCGTTAGGATTGTTCACATCCCCGACGAGTTGTGTATGTTATTGATGAGAACTTCCCTGGCGGCATTTGCCGTGAGGGATGTACCCATCAGCGAATCTCAAATTTTTACTAGTGATTCTAATATATTTTTCTTTCATCATTTTTGTGGTATTTGGATTGGGGACAATATCCCTTGAGATGATTGGATATCTCATTTTTCAATGGAAAAGGGGAGAGGCCCATGAGTTGGAATTGATATTCAAGCTTGTTCTTGTGTTTTGATTAGATTTCATGGTTCATTTGGTCTGTGAGAGAAAGTCAAGCCAACAGAATGATTATGGGCAAGTTAGGAGTGAGATTTCATCACTTTTGATGAAATAGCTCTTCATGGCTTGAAATAGCTCTCCATGGCTTGAGCAATGATAGATTTAGGATATAGTGTTGTTTGGACTAATAGTTATTAGAAATGACTCTCAGTGCTTGTATGAAACTTAAGTCGAGGCTAGTTTTCAATTTGGTAAAGTTTTGAATGAGTATTGGATCAAAAAGAGTCAAACCTGGGAGTAGTTAGGAGCTACATTGAAGGTAGTTCATTCCACTCTGTCAATAGCAATCCATCCGTCGATAGAATGTCGGGCAGAGTGTTGACTTAGTTTGACTCATGTAGTTTTGAATTTTTAAACTATGCTAATGTGGCAAGCATTAACATCAATAGTAGTCTTTACCACTGTGATTGTAGTGCCTGCAAAGAGCATATTGATGTTTCGATGTTTTGATTTCATTCAACATCGGTTTTGAGCTTTGTGGTTTTAAGTGGTTCTTCTATGAAGTCAATGGCCTTGTTCGCTCGTTCTTATCATCTTGATGAAAGTAATGGTTAATTAAATTAGATTACCTTTTATGATTAAGTTATTAATGTTATTATTTATATCGATATAGTAGTTGCTTTGTTATGTTATATTCATGAGTAGATGCAAGTAATGATCACTAGTAGAAAAGTAAAAATCGTAGACGGAATATCCTAGACGGAAAATTTTCCATCTAGGATGTAATATTCTAGACGGAAATTTTCCGTCTAGAATATTCCGTCTAGAATGTGTTATTCTAGACAGAAATTTCCGTCTAGAATAACAAAGTAGACGGTTTTAATATGTTTTTTATTTTTTTTAATTAGGATAGACATCCCAGACGGAAATTTCCGTCTAGGAAGTATCCTAGACGGAAACTTTCCGTCTAGGATGGTCGGTCCTGCAAGAGTGCACCTTCCCCCCAAAATTTCATCCCCAATTTTCGTTTCCCCGCCTAAATTCTCAAACTCTGAAATAAAATCCCCAATTTTCGTCTCACCTCGGCAGTCCGCTCCTTCTCCTCTCGCTTCTCTCCTCCATCAACTCACGCCCTCCTCTCCTCCTCCGGTCTCTACCTCAACGCGTGGCGTGACCTCCGCGCCAGCGGAGTAGGAGATCGACTTCAAGTTCGCGCCAAGACGCCCCTCTCATCTCGTCCACACCTCAACGCAGGCTTCTTCTTTTCCGTCCCCAAAATCATCCTCTTTTCCTACTCATCGTCGAGCTCCCTTCGTCTCCAGCCTAAGATTCGGAGATTACGGAGCGGACGCAATCAAGCACAACTTCTCCGAGATTCATCGAGCTGCGAAAGAGGTGTGGGACCTCAACTTCACCCTCGCCTCTCCCTTCTAATTTAACTCTCTCTTTCTCTCTCAATTCCTTCATCCATTACCAATTGCATTTGTTTTTGTTAGTTGGCCTTTAATGGCACCCCAAGCTAACAATTCAAGCCCAAAACAAGAGGCCCATAAAGAGGGGGCTCCGAGGTTTCGAGTGACGGTTGCCGGAAGTGGAAACTGGGGCAGCGTAGCGGCCAAGCTCATCGCCTCCAACACCCTTCAACAATCCATCTTTCATGGTAAATTTTTTATTATTAATATTTTGAATGAATTAATTATTGAAATTTGTTTGATCATATTTTTTAAGAAAAGAAAAAAAGTACAATTTTGCTAGTTATCACGTGGGGCTCCTGCCATTTTCTGTTAATTGTCTTTTTCTATGGTCAATTTGTGATTTTCTAACATAAAGAATCAAAACTCAATTGATAGCAAAAAGGATGTGAAACAAATGTATCAATCCAATTAGATACAACACATTTGCACATGTTAATGTGGGCCTTAAATATATTCTATTTATGTCAGATTTAGAGGTTGAATTCATACTTGTGCATGCGCATTCTTATTTAAGGTCTAATTTGTTATGCACGGCAATTAGATATTTTTAGTTTAATTAAAAAAGAAAAATAAATACAATTTTGCAGTTTTAGTCTATTCAGTTATGCACATTCTTGACTGATAATGATACTACCCAACATATCATATCTATTTTCTGTCAACTTTGCTTAAAATCCTACTCTTGAAACACTATTTTACTATGCATGTAAATATATAACAGCAGTGGTGATTGACAATTAAATGATGATATTAATCTACAGATGAAGTGAGAATGTGGGTGTTTGAAGAAGTCCTGACTAGTGGTCAAAAGCTCACAGACACCATTAATCGAACTAATGTAAGTCGGTCTCGTATTTGTCATTTTCTACATCTATCTTTGCATTTTGGTCATTCAAACAAAAACTACGATGGATACACTTATATTCGTTCTTCAATGTGATTGTAGTTTATTTTAACTAAAGTAGTAAAAAGGTATTCTTTGCAAAAGTTACTTGCAATCAAATTTATTGAAGTCATTCAGGTAATAAATTGGTTATTTTTGTTAATTATGATTGCAAAAAGGCTCTAGCTAACATGAAATAGACAAGTGTAGTTGTCCTATTCAATTATAATTACAATTACAATTATAATTTTCCGCAAACAATATGCACGACTTACACAATTGCTGAGTTTTGGACAGGAGAATGTCAAATACTTGCCTAGAATAAAGCTTGGGAAAAATGTAGTAGCAGACCCCAACCTTGAGAACGTAGGTAATCTCATACGTTTCAGTGAATTTTTTTTTTCCTACGAGGTCTCAGAATCAATATATGAACCTAACAACATTCTGATTATGTCTTGGATTTTTTGTTTGTTCACATCATTAATCAGCAAACAAATCCTCAACATAACTGCTTTTCCTTGGGTTTCTTTTTTATTTTCCGGTTTCAAACAAGCCGAGCAGGAGTGATATCTGAAGCTTCTTTTGATACGTGTATGTGCTATATCAGCGCCATATGTTGTGGTCTTTTTGCGTTGTCTATGCGTGTGCAAATTGATGTGTAAGTCGTAGCTTCTGAGATATTGTGGGCTGATGTACCACTAGTAGAAATCCGTGCATCCTGGACGTAATATCGTAGACGGAATTTACATGAATACTATTTGAGTTCCCGTATATTTTAGTTTTGTGGTCAAAGTTATTATCATTCTTTTGGTAGACGTTGTAAAATTATTATTTTTCTGATTAGTGAGACTTTGTAAAAGTTTGTAAACAATTTATGTATCTCTTTATTATTTTGGTGAATGTATTATTTGAATATAATTGGATTTGATATTGGAATATAATTAGATTGTGTTGGATATGAAAATGATTTTTTGTTGTTCAATATTATGTACATACACTCAAAACTCAAAGTAGATTTTGCAAAAAAAAAAAACTACTGTAGCATAGCATCCTAGACGGAAATTCCGTCTAGGATGCTCAAATTCCGTCTAGGATGCCTTTTTTTAAAAAAAATTAAAAAAATAAAAATAAAAACATCAATTTCCATCTAGGATGAGTATCCTAGATGGAAATTTCCGTCTAGAATACTCATCCTAGACGGAAATTTTTTCCGTCTAGGATGCCTTATTCTAGACGGAAATTCCGTCTAGAATATTCCGTCTAGAATATTCCGTCTAGGATGTATTCTAGACGGTTTTTAATTCCGTCTAGAATATTCCGTCTAGAATGTATTCTAGACGGAATATCCATCTAGAATACTACATCCTAGACGGAAACTTTCTAGACTCGTATTCTAGACGGAATTCCGTCTAGAATACACATCCTAGACGGAATTCTGAGTATCCTAGACGGAATTTTCCGTCTAGGATATCTTATTTTTTACTTGTGGATAGTGTTGCTATGTCAACACGTAGTCATGTTTCTTGAATGCTATGTTATGACCTAGAAATGCATGGATATTATGCATGTTGACCTAGGGATTACACCTTGGATTTTTGTTATGTTTGGTAACATTTCACGACGCTTGGACCTAGGGATATGCATGTTTAGGCACCATGATGTGGTATATATATAAAGATTATGATTTCTTTGTTTTGAATATTAGGCATGTCCTTCATGACACTAAATCAAGAATAGTTTGATAAATGAGGACAATTTTCAGTTTGGGATATATTCCGACTATGAGTGGAGGCCTGTAATTCTCTACCACCAAGAAGTTGATCAAGTATAAAGCATGATAAATCAAGAAAGAGATCAAGTATTCACGTGTGTCAAGTCATGATTGACTTGCATTTGGTATTTGACAAGAATGTTTCGTAGCTTTAGAAACCCAATCAGAGAGTGCACCCACATATGATGGATATTCTCTATGGATTGAATTATTCAAACCTAGTGCATAATGTAACAACCGTAATTTTTCGATACGTATTTAAACAATTTTTCTAGTATTTAAAATATTATATTATATTTTATTAATACTTTTCCTAACTTCTGGAATTTTCTGAGTTTTCAAAATAAATAAATAATAAAATATATAGTCTTGTATTTTAATTCTGCTAAATATTAATTTACGGTTTAGTGATTTTTATATATAATCATTTGGTGACTAATATTATTAATGACCTTGTTAATATTGATGTAAACTTGAGCATAGTATAGTAGTATATAAATATTAATAAAAAGATTTTTGGTTGATTATTAATTATTAATATAATTCAGAATTTTAGGTGAGATTTTCGAATTTTCCCTCTCATATTTTTTCTCATTTGAATTTGAATTCTTGCCATAACTCCAATCAATCAATTCCCTAATCACCTTTTAACTATTTCCTATTCACTCCCTTGATTTTCTCCCCCAAATCACGTGCATATCCTCTCTCTCTCCAATCCTCTCTCTCCTATTATTTCAAGCACACCCGTACACCCTCTCTCCTCCTCCTCTCTCTCTCCATCAGTTCACCCAAAGAAACCCATTTCTTTCTTCTTCTTCTTCCTCCCAGCACCGAACCCGACCACCCAAACAGCCCCGCACCCGAGCTCGAACCGCCCTCGACCCGCGCCCGTCCCCGCGCTCCTCCTCCGCCGTTCGGCCTCCGCCAGCACCTCAGAGACCACGACAGCCTGCAGCCGCCAAGTCGAGATTTCCTCGCCGTAGTGTGTTGGCGAGGAAAAAACTTTGGTCACCATTTCCTCGCGGTAGGATGGTCAAGAAAAGTTTCTGCGATGAATATTATAATTTCTCGCGAAATCCTTTTTGCGATGAATATATTCTTTTCTCGTTGTTACTCTTTAGCCTCGATATTTTTCCTCACCTAATCTCATACATTTTTCATCGCTAAACTATAGTTTCCTCGCCAATGATACATGAATTATATTTAATTTATATATAATAAAAGTTTAAAAAAACTATTTTCATCGTTGTATCTTTCAGCGAGGAAACTATTCCTCGCCAAAGGTAAATCTTTAACAAGGAAATTAATTTTCTTCATTATATGTATCTTTTTCTCGTGGAAACAATTCCTCAGTAAAGGGACTCAAAAACAAGAAAATTTAAATTTGTCATTGTAGGTTATACTCCATATTCCTCGCCAAAGAAATTCAATTAAGAGAAAATTTACATTTGTCGATATAGGTTATATGGTCTATAGCGAGGAAAATTACTTTTGCCGTTATAGTATTGTATCACTATAGAGAGGAAATATGTTTTTGCCGATGTAAGCAGTATACTCTATAATGAGAAAATATTCTTTTAACGACGTAAGCAGTATACTTATAATAAGGAAATTTTATTTCATCAATAATAATATTATTACAAGAAAAACGCTCAAAATATAAATAATTGTCATC